TGAGTTTCATTGTGAGAAGCTACCTTCCTTGGGGCTGGATACCGCTAAGGATTTTGGAGTTTTCTCCATTTTGATTGGTGCACCAGTGTCAAAGGTTATTAACGGAGAATTGTCATTTTTCTGGAAATTACACCATTGAATAAAACATTGAAAATAACCATAATTGCTATTAAACTGGTCTCAACGTGATGCTCGTTTTCTTTTAACATTAAAGATTTAGCAATTGGCATCACAAACCCGTCCAGTCCTGGCACAGAGCGTAAAAAGCAGGAAACAAAACCATTGCCCAGTGTCTCCTCCTCTGTGTCTGTCTACGCTGACCAGAAAGGGCAAAGGAAGCTACGAGAAACACGCTTAGATCCACAATAGCGGTTAATACAGAATATCCGTAAACATAATATGAACTATCTTCTTTCAGGCTTATTCACAATGCTTGTTTTATTTAACTTCTCAAAAGAGGAATCAAAGCTTGGATCTAAGAAATACTCTGTTGGTGCACCCAGACAGGGCCAGATTAAGAGCCCAGTGGGCCTGGTGCTGACAATTATGATGGGGCCTAATTACAAAATCTTATTGACCAAAAACACTAAAACAGTCATACCTCCCAAGCGTCATGTATCAGGTTTATTGTGACTATAAAGTGCTAAATAATCACATAATTATACAGTTGGTATTCATTTTCATGTCCTCAGGATGAGAGCTGTCAGGGGCCCTAGCTAGGAATGATAAATTGTATCTTTATTATAGATGGTGTTGGAGGGAAACTCAAAGGATGCAGCTATAAGAAAACACAAACCCTATGCTATCGTTTCATCTAATTAATGCTTTCATCTTTCAAGTAAATCCATACCCCCTAACAGCAGTGTGCAATGAAGCAGGTAGTCAATGGGCGGGGTAAAAGGGTGGGCCACTGGTGCAAATCACGTGACCAGAACTGCCAAAAGGGGCGAACATGCCCAAAAAGGGGGTATGTCTGTCTAAAGAATTGGAAGACCAGCCTGGCATCAGTGTCCCTATGTATCACAGTGTCAGTGTCCCCATGTCGCCCAGTCCGCTAGTCTCCCAGTGTCATTATGTCTCAGTGTGTCCCGTGTCACTAGGATGGGGAGACATGGAGACACAGCGAGACCCAGGGACACTGAGACACATGGGGGTACTGAGACGCTTGGAGACATGGGGGCACTTGTGGATACAGACATGGAGACACTGGGAGACATGGGGACACTAAGCCATTTGGGGACACTGGGAGAAATGGGGTCACAGACACTAGGGACACAGAGACATGGGGCCACAGACACTGGGAGACATGGGGACACTGAGAGATTTGGAGACTAGGGGACACTGACACTAGGGACACTGGCTGGGGGGCATGGGGACACAGACATTTGGGGACACTGGAAGACATGGGGGCACTTGTAGACATAGACATGAGGACACATAAATTTGAGGACACTGGGAGACATGGGGACACAGACACTGGGAGACATGGGGACACTAAGACACTAGGGACACTAGCTGGGAGACATAGGGTCACTGGGAGACATGGGGACACTGAGACACTGGCTGGGAGACATGTGGACACTGGGAGACATGGGGAAACAGACATTTGGGGACACTCGGAGACATGGGGAAACTGGGAGACATGGGGACACTGAGAGACATGGGGAAACAGGGAGACTAGGGGACCCTAGGAGACTAGGGGACACTGGGAGCCATGGGGACACTGAGGCACTAGGGACACTGGCTGGGAGACATGGGGACACTGGGAGACATGGAGACACCATGTCACCATGTGTCTCAGCGTCCCCATGTCTCTCAGTGTCCCCATGTCTCGCTGCTGCCTTTCCCCGCATCCTTCACTTCCCTGAGCTGTAGGCTGTCTCTGCAGGCTGGGAGCTGCTGTCTGGACTCTCTGTGCTGTGTAGCTGCTCCCCCGCAGATCAGTGAGTAGAGAGATGCAGGGAGATGCTGTAACTTCCTATCCCTGCCTCTCTCCATACACAGTGACCTACTGGCCAGTGCTGGTATTGCAGAGTAATCTCTGTTTATACTGAGAAAAATATTTGCATTTGTATTGCAGGTATTACTGCAATACCGTCATGGCCAGGCAGCCTTAAATACTGGCTGTGCCTTAAAATACCAGTCACATGGCAAACCTGAGAGTAGTGTGTGTGACGAGACCAATTTCGCCACATTGCATTGGAGAAGCCTGGTTGCTCGCCTGCTGCCTTTGGACTATGGCCCCCTGTTAAAAGACATCTTTTTTTACCTGCAGAAAAGCTTCATCCGTGCTTTTCTGCCTGGGGTTCGGTAGATTTGTTTGAATGTGTTATACCCCAGATAGGAATCCCATGGAGCCCATTCGTATGAAATTGACTGTAAAGACTTTGGCTCCATGGCGATTAAACTGTATTCGTGTGGTCTGAGCGCCATTCGCTTAATAATGTGCGCTCAGACCTGAGCTATCTGGGGATATGTTACATGTCTGTGTTCTATGTAATAAATGTTACTTTATGTATTTTAAAGTATAATACTGGTTTTGTATCCCCACATGTGTAATGGAGTTTTGCCTTTGTCTTGGGAGATAATTTAATTACTTCCCAATTATCTCCCAGGGCAGAGGGGAGGAAGCCAGGATGCATTGTGGGAATATATTGTGACTGTGTGTCCTATTTGTCTACTTGTCTGTCTTTTGTCACAGTCTCCCATTTGGTCCCCTAGGGGAGTGTCCACCAGGTGGGAGACCTGCATAAATACTGGGCAGGTAGCCCTCATTAAACAGACCACTGCTTGACCCTCAACACGGAGCTCTGTCTCGTCTTTGGGGGGATTTACTGTATGCTGCTAAGGACTGATTGCCAGGAGTGTAAGCCGCTTGGGAGCTTTTCCTGTTCGTCTGGTAGCAGCAATTCGTATGGTTCCTGTTCATGTATTTGGAGTGCTACCTTATTCCCTTGTATGCCGTTCGGGAGTTTGGAGCATTCACTTGTATGCAGTTCGAGAGTTTGGAGCATTCCCTTGTATGCAGTTCGAGTGTTTGGACCATTCCCTTGTATGCAGTTCGAGTGTTTGGAGCATTCACTTGTATGCCGTTCGGGAGTTTGGAGCATTCACTTGTATTCAGTTCGTGAGTTTTGGTGATTCTACAGTAGCTGTGCCTGTCTCTGAAAGGGGATTATCGTCTAAGCGGTTTTTTTCTCTTTTGTGCAAAACGGTCCGTTACAGTGTGTAAATGGGCCTATTCCATGGGCCTGGGCTGGAGCTGCAGCTCCATCAGCCCCTATGTTAATACGGCCCTGCACCCAGACATATGTAGACTTAGCTTATGGTCATTGTGAAAGAGAACTAACCATCGCTCAATGCAGTGGGAGCTGAGGGGGACCTCGTTTCCTTGCTTCCTGCATGTCTTCTGTCTGACTATGAATGGAAGAGCACTGCTTTCTGTACTAGATCATTCATGCATGCGTCTTCATTCACACACTGTAAAGCTGCAGAATTTGTTGGCGCTATATTAATACTAACATAATAATAATAATAATACTAGATCGTTCACACACGGCGTACATCGTTATTACAGATTGTTGCACCATGAGTAATCATCCTGATACAAATCACTGCTCCCATTACAGCCATCACGCCTCATCAAGGTGCAAATTACTGGTTCATTTCATTCAAACCATCAGTTCTTAACCTTTTTTGTCAGGTCCTCGCTATGTAAATATGAGTTTAGCAATCTGCTTTCTACGGTTAGATTATTTCAGTGACCCATTCTTCAGCTGTAACATAATGAAATGAATCCTGCAAACCTTTCATTAGATCTTCCACTTAGGAAATCAGGGCTGCTATGGTCAACCATTCATTTCAGGCAGATAAATTGTGTCTGTTCCAGCCATAAGGGCCCACCGAAAATGGAGGTTTTGGTTCATGGTTTGAGGATCACTGCTTTAAGCAGACAGAAATATAGTGTGGCAAATTAGCAAAAGAACTCACTTCTAACTCAGAATATTAACTTTTCATAGGACAGAAACAGACCTGCTTAAGCCAAGGAGGAAACTCAAGGCTCTGCAGGGGAGAGAAGCAGCACAAGGCTCTGCGGGGGAGGGAAGCAGCACGAGGGTCAGCAGTAAGTAATGAGGCAACACAAGGTTCTACACTAAGTAATGAGGTAACACAAGGCTCTGCAGTAAGTAATGAGGAAGCACAAGGCTCTGCAGTAAGTAATGAGGCAACACAAGGCTCTGCCATAAGTAATGAGGTAGCACAAGCCTCTGCAGTAAGTAATGAAGTAGCACAAGCCTCTGCAGTAAGTAATGAGGCAGCACAAGGCTCTGCAGTAAGTAATGAGATAACACAAGCCTCTGCAGTAAGTAATGAGGTAGCACAAGCTCTGCAGTAAGTAATGAGGTAGCACAAGCCTCTGCAGTAAGTAATGCAGTAGCACAAGGCTCTGCAGTAAGTAATGAGGTAGCACAAGCCTCTGCAGTAAGTAATGAAGTAGTACATGCCTCTGCAGTAAGTAATGAGATAACACAAGCCTCTGCAGTAAGTAATGAGGTAGCACAAGCTCTGCAGTAAGTAATGAGGTAACACAAGGCTCTGTAGCAAGTAATGAGGTAGCACAAGCCTCTGCAGTAAGTAATGAGGCAGCACAAGGCTCTGCAGTAAGTAATGAGGCAGCACAAGGCTCTGCAGAGTAATAACTTTATAGATCATTTTCCTAGGTTTGCTGTGAAATTATAGCTGTATATGAGTGGCAGACGTTTACTTAACAATTGCATTTTATAATAAAGTTGTCTGGGGGCATTGGGAGCACAGAGATAGGATCCAATTGCACATTGCCTTTCATGAGAAATAAGTAATATTTCATGTTATATCAATTATTAGATTGACGATTCAGACAAAAATGATTAATTTAAATTCAGTAAGTTCTGCCGTACTGTTTAATGACCAAATCAGACAAATGAAATCATCAAATCTCATTTTATTTTGCATTATGAATACTAGAGATTATGAATATAATAATGCCTTTATAAAACATCAAATAAATAGTTATAAATAAATAAATATGAACAGGCGGTCATAAATAGAAAGATTTATATGAAACATTTTAAGAGATTAGAAGAAGCAGAGAAAAAAATTGCTGTCATTCGAGGTGGGTCAATATCTTCTGAAACCTGGGAAGTGAATAAGAAAAAAATGATCAGGTAAATATGCCAAGCAGAACATGACCTTTCCATTAATATCAGAAAATCCCAAGGAGAAAATCTATTATTTATTATGTAAAATAAAAGATTACATGAATATGTTTTGTGTGAATTGATATAAATATCTCTTTTCAGAACCTCTCATTCCCGAGCTCCGTGGGATCAAGTCTTATTTTAGGAAACACGACTCAATGTGCACTTTCACTCATTTAACCTGACATCCTGCCAATGCATTGGGTCTCTCAAACACACATTCTGAGCTGGTTTTAGCCATTCGTTGTGCATGGTCATGGGCTTTGTTGCTGCATGTGGTGATGGTGCTTTGATTTACCATTCAAGTAACTTTCATCTCTGGTTTGTCAGTTTATGTATTACAATTCAAAGCCACGTCCAAAATCCTGGGTCACCAAACTCAATGGCTTACCATTACCACCCCCATACCATGGGACACCAAACTCAATGGCTTACCATTACCACCCCCATACCATGAATCACCAAGCTCAATGGTTTACCATTACCACCCCCATACCATGAATCACCAAGCTCAATGGCTTACCATTACCACCCCCATTCCCTGGGTCACCAAACTCAATGGCTTACCATTACCACCCCCATACCATGAATCACCAAGCTCAATGGTTTACCATTACCACCCCCATACCATGAATCACCAAGCTCAATGGTTTACCATTACCACCCCCATACCATGAATCACCAAGCTCAATGGCTTACCATTACCACCCCCATACCATGGGTCACCAAACTCAATGGCTTACCATTACCACCCCCATACCATGGGTCACCAAACTCAATGGCTTACCATTACCACCCCCATACCATGGATCACCAAACTCAATGGTTTACCATTACCACCCCCATACCATGGGACACTAAACTCAATGGTTTACCATTACCACCCCTATACCATGAATCACCAAGCTCAATGGCTTACCATTACCACCCTCATACCATGAATCACCAAACTCAATGGCTTACCATTACCACCCCCATACCATGAATCACCAAACTCAATGGCTTACCATTACCACCCCCATACCATGAATCACCAAACTCAATGGCTTACCATTACCACCCCCATACCATGAATCACCAAACTCAATGGCTTACCATTACCACCCCCATACCATGGGTCACCAAACTCAATGGCTTACCATTACCACCCCCATACCATGGGTCACCAAACTCAGTGGTTTACCATTACCACCCCCATACCATGGATCACCAAACTCAATAGTTTACCATTACCACCCCCATACCATAGGACACCATTACCACCCCCATACCATGGGACACCAAACTCAATGGCTTACCATTGCCACCCCCAAACCATGGGTCACCAAACTCAATGGCTTACCATTGCCACCCCCAAACCATGGGTCACCAAACTCAATGGCTTACCATTGCCACCCCTATGCCCTGGGACACAAAACTCAATGGCTTACCAATACCACCCCATGCCCTGGGTCTGTAATTCCAACAGTCACTGAAACTCAATAGCTTACCATTACAGCCCATCCCACTAAATGAATCGATTCTGTCTATCCGTCTTCCAAAGCACCCAGAGTCCCTCATCATCTTCCGGTTCTGCAGTGACCGTAGGCCTTTAAGGAATGAGTCCTTAATTGAATTTCTGTCATTCTGGCTGAACCTGTTTTCAGATGGAGAGACTTTCCTGTCTTCTGGAGATGCTAACTGGACATCAGCATTCTGTCTGGGTTCCAGGACATCGGAGTTTGATTCAATTGCATCAATAAGGGATAACTTCTCTCCAAGTCTTTCCAGCACACCCTGAAAATACGTAGAGAATATTAAATACATGGAATGATTGCAGAATAAACAGCATAAACACATAATTCATTGCCTGTGCTCATAATACACAGCCTGACATCATAATTCAAAGTCTGACCTCATAATACACAGTATGACCTCATAATACACCATGTGAACACAGAATGCACTGTCTGACCTCACAATGCACAGCCTGTCCTCATAATACACAGTCTGGTCTTATAATGCACAGCCTGGCCTTATAATACACAGTCTGGTCTTATAATGCACACCCTGGCCTTATAATACAGAGTCTGGTCTTATAATGCATATCCTGACCTTGTAATACACAGCCTGGTCTTATAATGCACAGCCTGACCTTATAATACACAGTCTGGTCTTATAATGCACAGCCTGGCCTTATAATACACAGTCTGGTCTTATAATGCACCGCCTGGCCTTGTAATACACAGTCTGGTCTTATAATGCACAGCCTGACCTTGTAATACACAGGCTGGTCTTATAATGCACAGCCTGACCTTGTAATACACAGTCTGGTCTTATAATGAACAGCCTGACCTTATAATACACAGTCTTGTCTTATAATGCACAGCCTGGCCTTATAATACACATATAAACAAGATATGTAGAATTTCTCACACACTCATAAGTAATGTTCACATGCAGTTCTGTGTGAATTACAATTCAACAAGTGATTGTGATAGAAAGTGAAATAACTTCCCTTAGCAATATAGGATATGCCCGTAGATTTCCTCCTATCTTCAATTCAACATGCATATGGTATAGGGCTATTCCAAGCTAGGGAAACAGAAAATATATGGCATAGTGCAATACTGTATATACTGTGATTGGGTATATGGGTAAGTGACAAATGCTCACTCACACTTTAACATCCCAAGAAATGCTTTCAGAAATATGCTGTGTCTTCTTTTGCTTCAGATACGGACTGATTTACCTGCTTTTATTTACTTTGATGTAAGTAATAAATGCTTTTTTTACTCTTTACTCAAACAGTCATTCAATCTATATTTTTTGCACTTTGTTTTTTATGTGAGATTCACATTTACCAAGTATCTGAAGCAAAGAAGACACAGCATATTTCTGAAAGCATTTCTTGGGATGTTAAAGTGTGAGTGAGCATTTGTCACTTACCCATATACCCAATCACAGTATATACAGTATTGCACTATGCCATATATTTTCTGTTTCCCTAGCTTGGAATAGCCCTATATCATATGCATGCCTTATAATACACAGTCTGGTCTTATAATGCACAGCCTGGCCTTATAATACACAGTCTGGTCTTATAATGCACAGCCTGGCCTTATAATACACAGTCTGGTCTTATAATGCATAGCCTGACCTTATAATACACAGTCTGGTCTTATAATGCATAGCCTGACCTTATAATACACAGACTGGTCTTATAATGCACAGCCTGTCCTTATAATACACAGTGTGAACACAGAATGCACAGTCTAAGCATATATCACATTCTCTCAGAATGAAGAATAAATAAACACTGCCCCAGTGTACACAGGGAATCATATTGATGAAGTATAAACATCTTACAGACCAGATCTGTCTATTTTAGACGAATCATTTTGTTCTATACTGCAATATATAAAATACTTTGTCAATCAGTTTATCAAAAACACTGATAGTTTCAAAGAATACAATGAACCACAGCAGGTATTCAATAATTCTACTACACCGTACCAGATACATCCAAAGATCCCTCTATTAGTCCCACAGTCTGATCTACTAATAACCAGCGCTTCATATAAGGACAAGGTTAGGGTTAAACATTCATTTCACATCATTTTGCTTTTGTTCATCAGAAATAAATAAAAAAATAAATAAAAAAAAACCAGGAGAAAACAATCATTACATTGATTTTCCTATTGTTCCCCAAAAGGGGATCTGTCCTGTCAGACTCCAGAATGGGGACCCTAATCAATAAAATGTCATCAATAATGTCCATATTGATCATCGATAATAATTACCTATAGATAATTAGCCCAAATGCATTGCTTACCTAATGCATAATCACTTATCTTATCAATACAGATCAATCATATCATTGTGATCAAGGCATATATCGATAACGGTACTTGTCCCTATAGATTAATCTGTAAATTAATCCCCTTCCTATGTAACAGTCTATTCCAAAACAGCAGTACTGATATATTGTACATAGAGATCAGTGGACACATTCATTCTCTAATAGACTAATCTATCCAAACACCTCTTTCTAGACACCTGTGCGTCTTATTCAAAGTCCCCTATAGATTAGACTGTATATTAAACTCCCCCTATGTATTAGACAGTACATTAACTCCCCCTAAAGATAATTAGACTGTACATTAACTCCACCTATAAATTAGACCGTACATTAACCCCTTAAGGACACATGACGTGTGACATGTCATGATTCCTTTTTATTCCAGACGTTTGGTCCTTAAGGGGTTAAACTCCCCATAAAGATAATTAGACTGTGCATTAACTGCCCCTATAGATTAGACTGTACATTAACTCCCCTATAGATTAGACTCAATTAACTCCCCCTATAGATTAGACTCTACATTAACTCCCCCTAAAGATAATTAGACTGTACATTAAAACTCTCATAGTTCAGTCTCTATATTTTCCATACAATGTAAAGTCACAGACAGTTATCTGCACAGAACATTCTGTATATTTCCCTCTGTAGATTTTTCTATACACCACATTAAATCAATATTGTTCCCTGTTTGTTCTGTACAAAACACTGCTCCACACAATACATTATATAAATACACAGATATTTCTCCCTATAGATTATTCTCAGTATAATGTCAGTCTACCAACACACAGCACATCACAGCAGATAACTCTATCCTCTACACACACACTGCAAATGGAATGTCTTGTTCTAAGAGCTAGCACTCTAACAGCTTGACCTCACTCTCTGTCTCACCTTGAAGGAGTCCAGCTCTCTGTCTGAGTCCATGTCCACTATTGGGTGAGCTCCGGAGCTGGGGAGCTGAATGATGGAGAGTAACAGAGCTCCACAGAGGAGGCAGAGCTTGCAGTGCATTGTCCCTTTCAGGAGAGCTTGGAGTGATGGATGAATGGGTTATTGCTGCTTTGCCCAGTGCCAGCTGTCTGTCCTGTGTGTCAGTATGTACCCCCTGTCCTTTGCTTTCTCTGGACCCTAATTCTCCTCCTTTGCCTCCTGTCCTGCTGGTTACTGTATCTCTTTCTGGCCACAATGCTCCCCTTGTACTTTTATACTCTGTAAGTGTGATCCTAAATCTAATCTGCAGTGCTCTCACCAGTCACCCCCTGAGGATGGAGGGACATGATGTCACAAGAAGATCTCTTTGGTCCTAATTTGGAAGTGAGCTGTGCTCCTGTGATTAGACTGCCAATATGACATTCTTTACACATTTATTGCACAGTGTCTGCTTGTACAAAGCCCTAATCCCCGAACCAGCCACGTTATGATGTCCCATTATTTGGCTCCTTGTATGGATTAAGCATTAGGTACAGCTTTTTTCATATCAAAAGACATGATTCACTTACAATTAATTATCCGTTGCTTTGCTTTTGTTATTTTTTTTTATTCTATCCATTATTTTTCTCCTTTGTATGAAAAAGAGAATTAACCACTTTGATACCAAGTGCTTTTCTTTAAATCAGAATTACTATAGGTGTGAAACGAGGCACCGCCAGTTCATTAGTGCGGGTCTAAATAGTAATTTTGTGTATAGATTGCTGTTCAAAAATACCTCCTCTTTCTTTTTAAGAAGTCAAACTTTTTTAGAATGGTTTGACTTCTTACCTGGGAACCCCCAGGCGCCCATCTTCATATCCACTGCAGCTCAGTGAGAGCCAGAAGCTCTCTTCTCTGAACTAAGCTAGTTGGCTGAGAGTGGCCAGCTGGCATTCTCAGCCAATGCGCAATCCCAGGAGGGCTACTGACCTGATAGTGGAGACATTCTAGAATGGTTTGACTCCTTACAGCGGGGTGCGCCACAGCACTCCTTGCACCATAACCGCTTCCATGTCCTGTAGTGGTTATGGTACTTGGTGTGTTTCTTTAAAGAGAACTATAATGACAGGTTGACTTTAAATACTTTTATGAGGAAGACAAACCACCAACATTTTTTGTTGTTTTGTTATTAAGTATGTTTATTTTCATACAAACCTCTTGCACCATACCTCCAATTCTTCAGTGAAATTATTTTGTCAAGGAAGCATCAACTGGGATATTCACTAAAATGAGAAATATCGGAGTTCACTGTGAATTTCTAAAGTCCAAATAGCCAAATGGTAAAAATTCTCCAAGTCAGCAACTTTGGCAATAAATTGCTATAAATTACTGCCGCTTTTTTCACTCATAATGATTTCATTCCATTCGAGATGTAATTTATTAATATGAATAAAAGCTTCTTGTTGCACATATATGAATGAGAAATTACAGAGAACACATGCCTTTGATGTCATAAATCTGTGCATGCGCAATAAATCTTTTAGAGAAAATTATGGCAAAAGCAGGATTGGCTGAGAATGACACATTTTGGGCAAATATATCCATGTTTTTGGAATCTTTGTTATTTTAGCATTCAATTTGCAGTTCCATTGTTTCTATAGAATAACTTGTTTAGTGAAAAAATTCACTAGATACCAAATTGCAGAAAACTGGAAACCTAATTGTAAAATTTTGGCATAAAGTAGTGATTTTGGAAGATTCCCCAACTCTGCGATAGTACCATGCTGGCTATTTACATTTTGCAATTCCTTCCTCGGTTCAGTGGAATGTAATATTTGAAAAACCTCAGAGTGTATTCTAAGGGGAAAGCCATTTAGAGGTTTTACCCTGTTTTAGAAAGTATTTCACGTAACTACTTGTCATGGCGGAAACATTCTCCTATTTGTTTTGGGCGGATTACCATACATTATCCAATGCAATATGATGCATTCAATTCTTCTCTGTGAAAATTATTTTTCAATTTCCTGAGATCAAAACATGCGGCAAACACATTTTCCACGGTAACATGTTCATTTAAGAAAAGGGATTATATTCTTCTTCAACTGTCTGGTTGGAAGCAGAGAAAAGCATGTTTGAGATTCCGCTATCTGCATTTTACAGGACTTCGCTAGATCACTTTCAAAGGGCAACACAACTCCGTCTCATTCCTGTGCTTCAGCAGAAACTCTCTTTTACCAGACAGATCAGCGGTTCGTGTAAGTTTAGGAAATCTGCTGCAGTCATTTAACAGGATATACAGTATGGAAAATAGAATCCACTATCTGGAATTAAAAAATAAAACATTTTAACCACGTAACCACCACTATTTAACCACTTTATCCTGTATACTATAGGAGTGAAAACATGACTTCTCATGGGTTGCAGGAGTGACAGAAATAGCGTAATATACACGGTCATATACCCTATACCCTGTAAGGGTAATGCCCCCAAATCGTCATAACGGTTACACCAAACCTCTGTACTATATACGGCAGTACAGGCTGGAGTTGCAGCATGCATAGAATCCATGGTTTGTACTCAATCTAATTCTCCTTCCCTGTTTGCGTCCCTAGCTGCAATGTTGCGTTGCATTTGACCCACAAAGGTTGCTGCAGGATACGGGACGGGGAGTCCTGACACTCACACTGCAAAGATGCAAAGAGCTATACCACACACCTAGAAGAGTAAAGAGACAGAAAGTAGTAGTCGATGTGACTTACAAACAGTATTACCAAAGGCGTGCAGAGGCAAAGTTCGAGTTAGCAGCAGAGTGACTGTGATGTCACTCTCTAAAAACGCCCTTAACCCATGACATCACCCAAAGCCTCAACACTGTAAAATGACTCCTGGCCAGTAGCACATCAGTGGTAGTAAGCAAGTTGCTCCCTATAAGTATATGATATGTGTATATATGATGAGCAGCATTGGGTGCAGGAAAATATAAAAACCTTAAAGGAACACACACATAAACATGTAATCCTTATGCTACAGTGTCCTGCTACCTATCTAGGTGGGTGTGTCGCCCCACCACAGTGTGAGGGTTTGAAAGGTGAGTATCACTTACCTTTGAACCGATGCTGCACTGCTCTCCTCAGGGCCACTCTGCTCCGTGGATGAGGTCATTAATGTTAATGATCCCAACCAATCTAATGCTTTGGGAAGCTAATGCTCACATGGGACAAAATGCTCTATAATCAGCATTTGATCTATAACCGAGATGAAACTGGTTACAGAAAAGGTTGTCAGGAAGAAAATGTTATCATTGCTGTTAATAAAGAACTGCGTGCTTGAACAGACAGGGGAAGTGCACCCAAAACACGAAGGGGTCTGGGTGCCTTTACTGTCCCTTTAATACTGTCACCGGTCCCTCACCTTACATTGATTAGCAGTGCACCCAAAACACTTATTGAGATGAAGCGGTCTGGGTACCTTTACTGTCCCTTTAATACGGTCGCTGGTCCCTCACCTTACATTGATTAGCACTGCTTCATAGCATTTAGAATTATCAGTGTTATTCACTGAAATGAGAATTCAAAATGAAATTTAAATTTAAGGTCAAAATAGCCAATATAGAAACATTCTCTAGATCTGCAATGCCTTCAGTACGGCTACTTTGGCCTTAGATTTAAAATTCCCTTTGAATTCTCACTTCAGTGAATACCATGGCCTGGAGGTATGATTGTGCACAGAGTGGAATTAAGCCATTCCTTGCAATGTAAACTTTGGTTACATATTATTTAGGAAGGATAGAAAAACCAGGAAAGGTGTCAGGGTATGTTTGGATGTCAAATTAAAGTCAAATATTAAGCAATCGGAACGTGACGAGGAACATGTGGAAGATTTTTGGGTAGATATCTGCTTGGGGCAAACAAAGGGAAATCAATTATTGGTTGGGATACGTTATAAAGCACCAAATATAACACAGATTATGGGTGAGTACACACAATATATAAATGTAGTATTAACACCAAATGAAATATGGATTTAACCAAAGGCTGTATTTACCGTGAGGCTAACAAGACATTTGCCTTGGGCAGCACTTTCCAGGGACGGCAAAAAATGCCGCCCCCAAATGCCCAGGTTAATGCCTTGTTAACCTTGTTTTATGGGGCCCAAGAAGTGGCCAGCTGGCCACTTTTTGGTCCCCCGGGGCAGGCAGCCATTTGTTTTCTGGGCTGGCAGCGAGGGAGCACTTTCCCCTGAGCTCTCCCTGCCGGGAGTCGGAATATGACGTCACTCCGGCTCCCGGTGCGCGAGGGGGTTGAGCAGGGAGATCACAGCTCCCTGCTAACAGCTTAGCGCAGCTGCCCAAAAGCCTGCCTGCACATTTGCCCACCTTCCTGCCCAGCACCCCCACTGGACCCCAGGTAAATAATCCACCCAGCTCTCCCAAAAGTAGGGAGGCTGAGTGGATTTAAATTTAAAAAAAAGAATAATAATTGTGAGTGTTGGGGGAAAATGTGTGTGTGTGTTTGTCAGTGAATGTGAGTGAGTGTGTATGTCAGTGAATGTGAGTAAAATAGCCAAGTGTGTCAGTGAATGTGTGTGTGCCAGTGAATGTGAGTGAGTGGCGTGTCAGTGAATGTGAGTAAAATAGCCAAGTGTGTGTCAGTGAATGTGTGTGTGTCAGTGAATGTGTGTGTGTGTGTCAGTGAATGTGTGTGTCTGTCAATGAGTGAGTGTGTGTTTATGTGAGTGAATGTGTGTGTCATTGAGTGAGTGTATGTGTCTGTCAGTGAGTTTGTGTCTGTCTGTCAGTGAATGTGTGTGTATATCTGTTGGTGTGCCTGTGAGTGAGTGTCTGTCACTGAATGTGTGTGTATGTCTGTCAGTGAGTGTCTGTATGTGTGTGTCCAGGGAATGTGTGTGTCTATGTGATTGTGTTTGTTTGTCTGTCAGTAAGTGTGCGCATCTGTCAGTGCTTATGTTTGCTTGTCAGTGAGTGTATGCGTTTGTCAGTTTGTGTCTGAATTATTGTATCCCATTGTACAGCGCTATGGAATCTGATGGCGCTATATAAATAATAAAATAATAATAATAAGTCTGTCAGATTGTGTCAAATCAGTGAGTGTATGTGTGTGTTTGTGTGTGTGTGTGTGTGTGTGTGTCAGTGTATCTGAGAGTGTGTGCTGGTCCGTGAGTGTGTGTCTGTCAGTCAAAATGTGTTAGTTAACAGGAAGGGGTGTGGCTTTGGCAGGAAGGGGTGGGTAAATTTAAATTAGGTGGTGCCCGAGATCTGTCATGCCCTGGGGCAGAACCATTTCAA